GAGTTGCACTTGGCCTTGTAGAAGTTCATAAGTTCCACCTCTCCAGCCTGTCCAGATGGCATTCCTTCTTCCCTCCAGCATACGAGCTGCACCACACAACTTGGTGTCATTGGCAGACTTCCTGGGTGCCCTCAATCTCTGACTGTTCATGTCACCAAAATAGATATTAAGCAGTGCTGGTCCCAGACTTGGTTTCCACTTGGACATCGAGCTGTTGGACTGCAACCCTGAGTGCAGCCACCAGCAAATTCCTTTTCCAAGGAGAGGTCCACCTGTCCAATTTAGAGACAAGGGATCTCCTTCAGGACAGTGTCAAACGTTTTGCACAAGTCTAGGCAGACTGTCAGTTGTTCTTCCCTTGTCCACCAACACTGCAAGACAATCATAGAACCAAATTTGTCTGGTGTGGTTTGCTTTACGTGAAGCCATGTTGACTCTCTACAATCACTGCCTTATTTTCCATGTGTCTTAGCAGAGTTCCCAGGTGGAGGGTCATGGAGAGTCTGCTCCATGATCTTGGCCAGGTGCACAAGTTAGGCTTGCCAGCCTGTAGTGCCCCAAGCCTGCCTTTTCTTCCTTTTTGTAAATGGGGGTTATGTTTCCCCTTTTCCAGTCACTGGGAACTTCCTCAGATGGCCACAACTTCTCAATGAATGGAGAGTGGCTTAGCCACTTCCTCCGACAGTTCCCTTAGGACTCATGGATGCATTTCATCAGTTCCCATGGACTTGTGCACCTTCACCTTCCTTAGATGGTCTGAAGCCTGTTTTCCTATAGCACGTGGTCCCTTCATTCTGCCAGTCCCTGCTGCTTTCCCCTTTTATAACTTGGTTTGGAGCGCTTGTTGGTGAAGACAGAGTCAGAAACATCATTGAGTACCTCAGCTCTCCATATCCATGGAAACCAGGTCTCCTGTTTCTTGCTGGAGAGGGCCCACATTTTCCCCAGCCTTTCTCTTATCACCCATGTACCTACAGAAGCTTTTCTTGTTGCCCTGGACCCCTTGGATTTTTTTTTCAATGAGTCATTTCATGCTGCAATAAAGGTCTGACACTTTGTGGCTGCTAGAGGTGCATCATGTGAGTGAATGTTTTGTTTAGCTGTGGGAAATATGGTTGACAAGGGAGAGTTTGCTACAGCTACTAGTGATCATGTATCTAGGTTAAAAATCTCATAGTAAATAGTATATATGACTTGAAGATGATATCTCTGCATGAACTATGGAGTGTTTTCTGTTTCTGCATTTTGATTTCCACAGCTTGTGAAGGAAGCTCAGCAGATTTAATAGTACATGTTTTTCTCACAGCACATAGGGCATTTATCAATAGTTAATGACTGGATGGTAACATATGTTAAAAGAAACTTAGCCTGTGAAATCCAGCTCTTGAGGTTTTTGTAGTTATTCATGCAGGTTGAAATATCTGCAGAGTGAATAAACTGCAGGAAGGAGTTCTGTGGATTCAGTTGGTTTTCAGTTGTGGATTCAATTTGATTTGACAGCCTAAAACCATTCATGGTTCCAGATCTTGAGATTGGAGAGGTACTATCTCTGATGCTAATTACCGAAGTTTTGCTTTCCTTCTTACATGCTTGGACTTCATCTGAATACCTTTATCAAGACTGGCTTGGTTAGAAAATTGACGTTTCTCCAGATCTTTGTTTTGCCATGTTTCTGTCTGCTTTTCTGAAGAAAAAAACCCCAAGTCTAATCCTCAGTTTTTAAGAACTGTGTGTTCTGGCTGCTCATCTCTTGGTGAAAGAGATCTCATGTTCTCTTACATGCATTCTACCTGAAGTTTAAAGGTAGAGGGTTTTTCCTTCATATATATTTCCTTCCTTTCCTTCATTTTCTTTTTAAGTTGCTGACAGTTTAGTGGACCTGGCAGATCTATTTTATCATAGGTCATCCTTCAGACACCCTGGTATAACAAAATCTTGAGAACATGACCGTCTGGCCCAAATGTTGGCTAGTACAAATAACAGTGGAATTCTTGTTTTGAATCAGTGCTTGACTGGATAAACCAAAGAACTACCTAACATCTGCATTTCCGATCTGCAAAAATAAAACCTGGTATGGGGGTTCTTCAGTTGATGGAAACATGGTATGTGTAAGTGCTTTTGTACGAAAAACATTAAATGCTAGAGAGCTGGAGCTGGGCATTTGAATGGGAAATTTGATACTAGAATTTTTTAACAGAAAAAAATTGATGCAGAAGTGGATGATTGAGGGCAGTATTTCTTTGCTTTTGATGCCTTCAATGAAAATGTTTACCCAAAATTTAAATAAGGCTTAACAAAATAGACTGTATTTAATGAAGGTGGTCAGATGAGGCAATCTAGTGATCCCTTCTTGCCTTAGGCTAGAATTAGGAAGGTGTTTTCAGCACTGTGGTATTGTTGCAGACTTCAGAAAGGACACAAATGGACAGGTGTTCCCTGTGTCTGTTCCTGAGTATGCACTGGTACAGTTGTTAGCTGTGAGTGCCTGTTGTCTCATCATCGCTCCTGACCCTGTCAATTGGTCTCGCAGTCAGCAAGAGCAGTAGTGAGATTCTTGGACCTTGAATACTGGATGACTGTGTTCCTTCAGTGGACAAAGACTATCAGATGTTGCACCAGTGTTCCCTTTGTCAGGTTGACTGACAGGCCTGGCCAAGGTTTGCTTTATTAGATCCTTTTGCCATTCTCATTTGTCATAGCTGGACACAATCTCGGACAGTTGGAGGTTTTTCACTCGCTTTTGTTCTTTGTTCTTTCATCAAGTTATTTTTTTCCTGTGAGCCTTCTGCTGTTTCTGACATCTGTCTTCTTTTTTCCTGAGTGCTTAGTTTTCAATCACTGGACTCCATTTTGTATTTTGTGTTACTTTGCATCAATTTCTCTGGCTGCTCATTCCATCTTTTGCCAGCTGTCCCAGAGTGCTTTTCTCTGCACTCTGCATTGTTGTTGAATCTGTTTATCTTTGCTCTCTCTCATTACTTGAGTCCTTTGTTATGCGCTAGAGAGACAAGTAGATTTTGTTCAGTTCTCCTTGGTATTTGTGGAATTTGGTGTAGGAGTCTCTTGTAAGGTGTGCATGACGATCAAGTCCCACAGTCTGGTAGATGTCCCTACTCATTGGTTTGGCAGAGGGCATGCTGCTGTAGCAGTAGCACTAATGAGCACTGAAGTATTGTCTTGGTCTGAAAAGACAGGTGTCTGCTAAGGAAGGCAGGAGCCTCCCCTGAAATGGAAACTGTAAACCCCCTCCCTCCACATTGTTATAATTTTGAAATTAAGGAACTCTCAGACAAAGATATGGGAGCAGGAATAACAGTTCTTTTTTTAGGAAAGAAAATTTAAAAAAATAAAAGAAAAGGAACAATGCAGTAATACAAAACAACACTGACAGAGTCAGGATACAACCTGAAACCCTGTGCGTCAGGGTGTTGGTCGCAGTCCCATTAAATGGTGGCTGCAGTCGTCCTGCAGTGACAGGTGTGATTCTGTTGGAGCTGTGATCCAGTGTTTTCCTCTGAAGATCCAGTGGTGGTGTAGATGGGCCTGGTCTTCCTCTGGGAATCTGGTGGAAAAGGCTGACTATGGTCTTCCAAATTTCTGATTATATCCAGATAGGAATGCTTGGCTCCTCCCTCTGGGTGGCACACCTCACAATGGGATGATGTAATTTTTATCAGTCATGCAGTGAGACTCAATGGCCCATTAACAGAAGATATCTCCCCGAGGGAGGATTAGTTGTGGAAAAGATAAAGAAAACTCCCCAATTAACAAAAGATAACTGCACCACTTCTAACAGATAGGAATAGAATACACACCCACATTTCCATCCTAAGACAAGTATACCACATGGTATTAAGAAATAACTGTCACTTCGAAGTCAGGGTTTAAAGGCTTGGCTATTGTCTCAGTGAAGCCCCCCCCCAGGCAGTTTATACTGAGAGGCAGGAAATGAAAATGGATCCCTGTCTTGTTTCAACACACTCTGAGTTTTGGGACAGGTATTACATATAAGGGTTTATATTGTTTTCACTTCTGAAATGGATTGTCTGCACATTGCTCTTATTAATAAACATTTTTAAGATTCAGCAGTATTTGCTGGATAGATGAACTTAAAAAATAAAGGGAAAAAGATATCAGGCAAAATGATGTCATAAGTAGCTTAGTTTCTTGATTAGTTTTACCTTTTGTAGAACAAATTATGCCAGTCTTGCTAGATCAGTCTTGCAGTGATCCATCTAAAATAGAGAAAGATCCATCCGAAAAATAGAGGCTCTTCTGCTCTCTCAATTAAATGCACAGTTCTGGTAATAATTTTCATAATTTTGTGTACGTCAACTAAAGTTTCACTTTTTCAGCCAAACTGATCTAATATAGTAGTTCCCAAATTGACAGTTTAATCCTTTTTTCCTTATATGGTGATCCAAGTACTTTAAGCAAGATTTTGTGATACTGTTCTTTTTTTTGGTGCGAGGTAGCTCGTTATAGCTTTATATTGCCTTTTTCTTTTATGCTAGCCTTTCAAGCTCTGAAAGTTTTAAAATTTTTAGTTTTCTTAGGTGTCTAGACTTGTTTATAAGACTGGATAATTGCAAAGGTGGAACTTATTTATTTAATTTCTTTGCAAATCTAGCTCTCTGTAAATTCCATTTCCAGGCTGAAAGACAGGCTGAAATATTGTACTCATCTTTATATACAAACATACAGGAGGGCTGCTGACTGCCTAGTGTGTGTGCAGCTTCTCTTAAAATATAACTCACAGATAAGATGCATCCTTTTGTTGAATGCTCAGGAATTCTCACCTCTGCTTTATCACACACACTCCCCCTTTTTACTTTTGAAGATCAAGTCCTTATAAACATCTGTTACCAGGAACTGGTAGAAACAATATGTGTAACGGCTTAGGGATTCATTGTTGCTAAAAGCATCATAGAACATAACATTTTCATAATAGTCAATATGAATGTGCTTGGAAAAAACTCCAATGATTTCTTTTTTTACAGAAAAACCTGCCATTGCCCCACCTGTCTTTGTATTTCAAAAGGATAAAGCACAGAAGGTAAGGAGATATTGGTACCTTTTTTTGGTTTTGTTCTTAGCCCTGACTCCTTCCTTCCGTGGTGATCAGCCCTTTGTATTGTTGTGAAGCTGAAGGTGGCTAATAGAGCATTAACATCATTAATGGGCATAGGGCAAGCAGGTACTGAAGGGCTAAAAGTGGGAAGATGTATGGTGGTTTCACAATTACGGGTAGCTCTTCAGACAGAAGATGGACCAATGTGGAAGAAAAAGTATGGTGAAGGTGTATCTTGAACATGAGTCAGAGGAGTGCTGATGCACTCAGCATGACAAAGCTACAGAATTTGTTTTTCTGATAATAGGGTTAAGATAAAGCAAAGAAAACTGGTCCAGATTATTGCTTTTCACCTCAGGGTACTTAAATGTCTCTCATAACTTTGGTTTGTATGCTGTGAAGTGTCTAGTTACCTTGGGAAATGGTAATTCTGTTCCCACATCTCAATATGGAATTTAATTCTGTCTGGTTAATAGTAAAAGCAAGTAAGATTTATGTGGGAAAAAAATCAAGGTTATCCATGTTTCTGTTGAAGATGATGGGAACCAAGAGAAGTATGTGATACACTTTCTGTCGGATCATGGGATTGGTTTGTTGTTTGTGGAGTCAGAAATGTTTGAATTGAAGTACTAAATCATTTTTCAGTTGATAGCTTTTCTTTAGTTTAGAACAAGTACCAGACTGAAGCTTTCTCACAGATTCAATAGGCATATTCCTCAGCAGAAGCTTGAAATAGTTTCTCAGCTTGGAAAGGATTTAAGTCTGCTGTCCTCCTAATATTAGCTAATCAAATTAAATCTGCTAGAGAGTAAGTACTTTCAAGACATTCTTTTAATCACATTTTTTACAGTGACTGTTTACATATACTGTGGAATGAAGGAGTGGTAGTGTTTGCACTATCAATTTTGATCATGTTTCCTTTTAGGAAACAGCTCCCAGTCACCCACTGTTGCCTTAGACTGTTCTGAAGTCCCTTATGAGTTGCATCATGGTGAGTGTTCTCTGCAGGTGTCCTTTACCATGGTGGTGATCATAGCAGTGTGCAATCCAGGCAGAGTGACATGGTCCTGTGTCCTTTTTTACCTGGCCTGGTCTTTATATGCAAAGATAGCAGTTCTGGTACTTTCAAGTTCCTTCATGATGCACCTTTGCTTCTGCACCCCTTCAGCAGCCTTCACACTGCATGCCTTCATCATTAAGCTGTGCAAACTCCTGCACTGGGCTGTGAGACAGTTCTGTTGTGCTCTGATGGGTGTCAATAAAATATTTGTAAAAATATATTAATTAAAGGGATAATGTGTTTTGGGGCTAGCAGAGATGATCCAGGGAGAGACATCTGTGATTTTAATCTGCCCAGCTACCTCTGAGGATGCTGAGGTGATGCTGAACAGGTATGCTGAACAGGTAGCTGTATTCAGGACCACCTCTGCCTCAGCACAGACAGAAAGTCTGGCTTTGTTTGGTAGAGAGTCTGTGGGTTTCTCAGCATCTTGCAGGCACAGGAGTTAGAGATAAGTTATACATTTATTTAAATGCCAGGTGGTGGTGGTGCTGTCATTGGGGCTAGCCACTGTTGCTTTGGGCATGGAGTAAGTCTGGCTTGGGTGGGGAATAGGGCCTGTTCCTTGAAACAGATCAGAGAGTCTAGTGGCAGCACCTGTAAATTGCCAATTTTCAGAGTAGTAACAGACATAAATGCTTATGCTAAACTGTGTGTTGTGTGGAGATGTAGGATTTTTAAAGGGGAAGGGGGAGTGGTTAATAATTTTAGTAGCTTTTATTGGGGTTTAGTTGACACTGCAGAGAAGGACTTGTAGAAGTATCAGTGCTGTGCTTCTTGCAGTTTGATTGGATTAAGAGCTTATTTCTTGTGCCAGTAGTTGTTTTTTGTAGTATAGATATAGTAGTAGTATAGTGTGAGCCCAAAGTAACAGCATATATACTATGCTGTATATATCAGAACCTAGCATTTAATCAACTTAATTAAGGAAAAGTGCATCAGGTTACATACTGGTTGAGATCTATCACTGTGTTTTCAGAAAGACTTAATAGCTAGGTGTTCCCAAGAAGGGTAAACTCCGTTACTGTTTCTGTAAAAGGTGCTTGGTTAAGTGCATTGCCTACCACTAAAGACTATCCTCCTTAAAGTTATCAGGGAAATCCTGTAAACAGAGGAGTTTTTCCTTGAACAATGTTTTGAAGAAAATGCAAAAGTAACTTCAAAATAGTTGTCAAACAACACACTACTTGAATATGTAATTTCTCAATGTAAACTATAATTTTAATTTAGCAAAATGTCTGTCTAGTCAAGTCACTTTTTTCTGTGAGCAAAAGTGTTAGTGGAGGCTTTTTAGTGCTGACACAGCAGTCTGACAATAAGCTGAGGGAAGAAAAAGCACTGCATTGTGTATTCGGTTAACTGTCTGTGATGGTTATATATGTTTGTCTACTATTTTTCCACGTGAACCTGGATGTCCTAAGCAGAATTATTTAATTGCAGCATCTACAGATCCTCTCAGTAGTACAGCTGGGTTGATATAATTCAGTGCTCTTACTGATTTTTCTGGAACTAACAGTAATGTCAACTATTAAGTTACACAATGTTCTTTTTCTAGAAATCCTGACATATGTTTGTGCTTGGTAGGTGTCTGACATTTGGGTCATACCAACACCATGGAACATTGAAGGCTTGGAGCAGAGTGGCTGGAAAGCTGCTTGGTAGAGAAGGACCTGGTGGTCCAGGTCAACAGGGGCTGAACGTGAGCCCGTGTGCCCAGGTGGCCAAGAGGGCCAGTGGCACCTGGCCTGTACCAGCCACAGTGTGGCCAGCAGGACTGGGCGCTGCTGAGGCATTTCAAATCCTGGGTTCAGTTTTAGGCCCCTCATGACAAGAAAATCACTGAAGGGCTGGAGCATGTTCAGCGAAGGGAACAGAGCTGGGGAAAGGTCTGGAGCACAAGGCTGATAGGAGCAGCTGCAGGGGCTCAGCCAGGAGAAAGGGAGGCTCAGAGGAGATCTTCTCACTCTCTCCAACTCCTGGACAGGAGGATGGAGCCAGGTGGGGGTCAGGCTCTGCTAGCAGGGAACATGGGACAGGATGAGAGGAAATGACCTCAAGTTGCACTGGGGTGTTTTAGGTTGGATATTGGGAATTTCTTCACTGAAAGGGCTGTCCAGCCCTGTCACAGCTAGCCAGGACAGTGGTGGAGTCCCCATCCCTACAGGGAATTAAAAGCTCTGTGGATGTGGCACTTGGGGATGTGGGCTACTGGTAGACTTGGTAGTGATGAGGGAATGGCTCCACTCTGATCTTGGAGAAGTTTTCCAACCTGAACAATTCTATGGTTTTATGATCTTTTTCTCCACTAGAAATTGGAAAATATTCAGGATGTTCTAGGACAAAATTCATACCAGTCTGGAAACTAATTTTTTAACTGCATCTTCCAGCTAGGGATGTATACACTTGAATAAAACATCAGACCTTGCAGTTTGACATGTTTATTTAGAGGGGACAAAAAATGCATAGTGTTCATAATGCTGCCCCTTAATGTTACTTTACATAAGGAGATTTGAATTCTGTTTTGCAGTTAAAGACACTTGAGCACGTCCAGAGAAGGGCAGCAAGGCTGGTGAGGGGCTTGGAACACAAGTCCTGTGAGGAACAACTGAGGGAGCTGGGGTTGTTTAGCCTGGAGAAAAGGAGACTCAGAGGTGACCTTATCACTCTCTACAACTTCCTGAAAGGTGGTTATAGTCAGGTGGGGGTTGGTCTCTTTCACCAGGATGGAACCAGAGGACACAGTCTGAAGCTGCATCAAGGGAATTTAGGTTGGATATTAGGAAAAAGCTCTTTACAGAAAGAGTGATAAAGTTCTGGAATGGTCTGCCCGGGAGGTGGTGGAGTGGCCATCCCTGGATGTGTTTATAAAAAGACTGGATGTGGCACTCAGTTCAATGGTTTAGTTGAGGTGTTGGGGCTGGGTTGGACTTGATGATCTTGAAGAGTCTCTTCCAACCTCATAATTCTGTGAATACTGTGAAAAGATAGGATTAGTCTGTCCTGGTTTTCAATTTAGATGTCAATTAATGGTGGATGTCAAGTTTGTAGTTACTAAATATGAGTGAGTCTGCATTTTAATGATTTTTATATCTCCTTAACTATTTGAGAACTATTTTTACAAAGTGTGAAATATACTCTTGCAAATATCTGAATAGTTGCACTGCTATCCGTGTTTCTGACAAGCAGAGTTCCTAAGGCTGACACGAGTTGGAAAATTGCATCAGCTTAAGGCTCAAACTACTGAGATCTGAAAGCATTACAAAGTCTGAACCTCACTATGTTAGGCATGGAGTATTTCTGTTACTCCAAATAACTTCTTTATGAGCTAAGCTGTGTTTTTCATAGCACTTTTTGAATTAAATATTTAAATTGATGGATACAACTTATATCTGTGTTTAATATTAGACACTTTGGTGTTTCTGATCTGAAACTGATTTTGGCTTCTGCCATAAAACCATTTCATGACAATGGTTTTTCTGGCCATAGATTACTTTAAGTGATTTTCTGATGTTAGCTTTTAACATGCATTTCTGAGGTGAAAGTATTCTGTCATTTTTGGATTGACACATTTTCAAGCAAGTATATTAGCTCAAACAAATAAAATCAGTAATAGCGTAAAGAAATACTTTGTCCAAAAATGTTTTTAAAGAGTGTCATTTGTTCTGCTAGTATGAACTGTTGGTAAACTGGTCGTTACTCGTTGTCATCACATAGGATCATTATGACCTCCCTAGTCACAAGTATAGGAAAAGGTAGATTCTCCACTCAGATTTAAAAAAATTTTTGCACTTGAAAACACCATTGTTTATGACGTAGCTTGCACCTTGTCCTCCTCCCTCCACCAGCCTGTGTTGGGGTATTGGTAGAATATAGAAATGGTTTGTTGTATAACTAGTTTTGATCAGTATACTGCTTTCCATATGTGAGTTGATAATGGTGGCCTTTTAAGATTGACTCTGAAAGAAGGTAAGTTATGTGATACTTGGGTCATGTTCCATACCAAAGTGGTACAAAGATTTCAACAGGTAACAGGGGGTCCTAAATGCAAAGCTTCTGGAGTCAGTAAGGGCTTATGTTGTTAAATTGTTCAAGCTGTCATCATGGTCTTAACTATGGAGTTTTAAAACTAGGTATAGAGTTGTAAAAGTGATGGATGTGATTGGAAGATGGCATTTCCAGGTAGCCTGGAGAGCAAAATCATGAGGTTTTTTTTTTTTTTTTTTAAGATATGTAAAGTAGGGGTTAGTGGAAGTCCTGCTTTGATGCAGTGTTATTTGGAAATGCTTGGGTTTTGGTGGTTTGGGGAGGCAAATGACTAGAAAAGATTCTTCGTGCTGTGGCCATGACTTACAGGTTTAGGATAGTGACAGAGAGAGAACTGTGAAGTAATTTGTGTACAGAGAGGCAGAGCATTCCCTTTCCCAGTCTGTTTCATCACTGTTAGCATGGATACCCAGTGGAACTGTATTATAAGTCCATAGTATACTTAAGGAGTTAAAATTTGCGCTTAAGAGGTCATAATTTTGAATATGTTGCTGTACTTAAAAGAGCAGTCATGAGAAGGTATTGGGAGAGACAGTTGCGTAGAAAAAGCTTGGAGGAATATAGAGAGGTTGATAAAGGCTGTTAGGCATATAGGCAAGAATTGTCCTTGGCTCTAAGCAGGTAAAAAATGTGAAAAGATATACTGAGAGTAGTCTTTTTAGGCCATTGGATAGAGGTGCTAGAGTGACGAAAATGAGGAAAGGGTTGCAAATAACTCAACTCAGAACTGGGAGGAAAAGCTGGTCCAAGAGCGCCTGTTCCAGTCTTTATTGAAAAATAATATGATTTCCTTGCCTATATTTGGTGACTATGGTATCATGTGAGTCTTAGCTTTTAATTATTCCTTCATGTCTCTCCTTATTTTCTGCAATACAGAGGAAGCCAAATCTCCAAATAGATGTATTTAGTCTGGGTGTGTTATTTTTAGTTTTAAAAAAATAGAAGTTGTTTGATCTGGTTGAGCAAGGTGAATTTGTGTAGGTGGCTTCCTAATATTATTCAACTCTCCCTTTATCTTTGCCATAGTATTTGAGAGGCAGGAACAGGTTTCTGTCAAGTTCTCACTAGAACTGTATTTTATAAGGAATGCTTTCTCTAGAGAGAGGAGGCTCAAGGAGTGATACATTTCTCAGGCAAAATACTCCAGCAAAAATGAAGAGAGTGAGCTGTTCACCAGCTCCAAAGAACTTCCAGAAAGAGCTTAGATCAGAATTAATGAAGCTAAGAGAATAGGAAACACTTTCAATAGTATGCATGACCAAGGATTAAAATTAATTTTAAGAGTTCACAGTTTCCTTTGGATATGCTTTTTTGAGAGCAAAAAACAGGCTGTACAAATATCTGCCTGGAGCAGTTCTGGTTTGATAGATAAATCCTTTAGTCCTTTGTTGGTCTTGTCTTCCCTGACTTAAACCATTTACTATTCACAGAATTCTGAAACTTACAGTAGTTTTTGATTAATATACTTTTCCTAATATAATTTAATTTTAAAAAATATATTTATATATTGGCCATGAAATTCTTATATTGGATTCAGATTTTTCTTCATAGAAGTGGTGATTTGCAATAGTTATTTTTCTTTGTTTTGTGGGTCTTGAAGTAGATATTCCAGTCTTGCTTAGGATAGAAGTCAGATTTATACTTATTTCCACTTTTAAAAATGCTTGACAGCAAGTACTTCAAGTATTACAGGAGTTATTAAAATCTGTTGGATGTTTACTTAGCCTACTTTAGGATATTCTAAACTGTGGCAATATCAATTACTTGCAAAATATTTTGTCATTTCCAATTTTAAGTGCTTAGCACAAGTGTGCATTGCATGTTCTTGCCTCTTCTTCCTTGCGAGCAATTTTCTAAACTGTACCTAGAAGTCAGTCTAAATTTCTGGTAAGGCTCGTTTTTTACAAATATTTTAAGTGCTATGCCCAGTTCCTGGTAGCCATTCCTCCTGTTCTCCCCAGATGAAAAGGTAAGGATAGGTGGCTAGACTGCTAGATTTTATTAAATGTTTGGTGAAAAAATGTTTCTTTAACTCTTCTCATTCTGTGGAGTTTTAAGTTAGTGTTTGGGTCTGTTATTAACAACTAAATATCAAAATGTTAGTTAACTTTGACAGTACAAAAACCCAGCACCCTGAACTTTTACCTGATATCCATAGTAATATCCCCATAAATATATTTTTACTATTTTGAGCCTTAATTATAGTAATTTCTTGCATAATAAAATTTCATGTATCACTGGCTTTTGTTACCATGACAGGGCAAGTGTTACTTGAAGAACTTGGCTCTTAAGTGCTGCTGTTTATTTTTCAGGCTTTTGCTTACTTTCTTGCACAGACCTGGGCAATGATGAGCATTTTTAGTTTCTTCATTCTACCAAGTGTTTTCTGTGAGCAAACCAAGGTTGTGTCCTTTTGAGTGCCATCTTTTCCTTACTGCATAATTCTTCAGATACTTCACCATAAGATGCTGGGAAGCACAGGCCACAGATTGCAAGTGCACATCCTTGGCCTGCATGTTATCCATGGACTATAATTCAGTCCTTAATCACAATACAGTTGTTTGTGCTCAAAGCCTTTTTATGATTTGTTTGTTCTTCAAATGTGTACAGAATATGATAATGCTAACTTTTGTTGCACAGGCAGGGATGTGCAACATTAAATGATGTGAAGGAATGAAAAGTCTGTGGCAGAAGTTCAGCAAATACCAAATCCCATTAGGGTGCACTAGTTATCCAGTCACCTCCCTCCTTGAAATAGATTGAAACTTGCTAATTTATGAAAAAACCATTGGTTGCTTTTCAGATAATTCGCCGTCATGTAAATGTGAAAGGATCCTGTGTCTTGTGTGAATGTTAAAATAATTAATTTCTGTGAGAATTTTATAACCAACCTCACCTCCCTCAAAAGTGGGCTGAAGAGGCAGTGGAGGACACTTATTTAGAGTAATTGTCTAATTTTTATATCTGACTCTGAAAGTGAAAGCTATCAACTGTCCTTTAGTCCTTGAGAGAGGTGGGGGGTTAAACCCCAACAAGCCTGGTGCTGGCAAAATCCTCTTTGCTGGGGACATAGATGATTTTGGTAGCTTTCAAAAGAGTGCATTTGCTCCAACTAAGGCTTTTCTCAAGGATGGGAACTAATTCTGTCAGCACATTCTGTTACAGAGTTTCTATGTATGTTAATTGGTGTCTCAGGAACAAGCAGCTCCTTCTGCCCTACTGTGAAAACAGTGAAAATTAAACAAATGGATCCTCTCGCTAGGACGACCAATCTCATGTTGCAGCCTTGCATTGAAGGGACGTTGTCTTTTCTGCTCACAGTCCCCTGCAGAGCAAAAAGCTTTGTCGGATTCAGGCGAGGACCCCCAGGGAGAGGTTGAGCCCCCCTACCATGGTCTGGGTCACACAGAACCAGCTGGTGAGTGCGACTCTGAGCACCCTGCTCCTGCTGTGGCCTCAGTCAGTGCTACCCTGAGTCCTGCTTCTGAAGCCCAGCTTGCTCCTATTCAACAAGAACTGGCAGGGGTAAGTGTCAATCTACCAAGTACTTCTGCTGCTGAGGGGATTAGAGGAAAAAGTCCCTTCCGTTAGGTGGAATCCGTTACTGTTCAGTGTAGGTAGTGCAAATCACAGTCTGTCTGGTTCTTTGATTTCAAGTGTTAGTCTTCTCTAAACCCTTGTTCCACTTAGAAGTAATGAAATTTGTGAGTCTCCCTAGTAGCGTAACTGTAGAAGACACCTAAAGTATTTTAAAATTTAAAGTGTTAACTGTGTGTTTGCTAAGGGAAAGAGCACTTCTAAATAAATGAGAAAGTGGGTCTAAATTTGATGGATTTGCTTCAAGCAGTTAGAGGAGGACTCTTTGTTCCCTCTATGGGCCATAATACGCTGCAGCTTGACCGAGTGAGCAGGTAATACAGCTTCCACTGGATATGTCATGCCAACCCATAAGGTATTTAACAGACTAAAAGCACCAAGCATCATAGCAGAGTTTTGGATTCAGGTGTTTGGCTTTGGGACGAAATCAGTATCTTATGGAAAAGCTGTCAGTGCTCATAATTTGATTTTTCTTCTGGTGATGTGGCAAAATCTTTTCTGAAAGATTGGATGACTAAATGACTCACTCCTACCATACAGTCTTTCAGAGCAACTTTAAGTGTTCCTAATCTTTCTGGTTGGTGGACCATGTTTTCTCAGTACAGATGAGTGTCAGTGTTCATTCTGGCATCACACCCTAGGCTCGTGCTCTTTGCTCAAGCTTTGTTAAGGCTGCTTCACCCAATACCTGGACCTTTTTCTTGCACTGGTTGGTTTTGAGTTTTTTTGTCCAAGAATTGGCCATTTCAAATAAACCTAGTACTGAGTGGATTGTCATGATAAGGTGCCAATAGCTGTAGGTTAAGCACCTCTCAATGTTCAGACTGTTGCGTTTGATTAATTGCAGAACTCTTTCTTTTCTGAAGCTTGACGTTTTCAAGACTTAATATTTTAAAATATAGCTGGTAAGCATGTGCGGAAAATCATGCTCTGAAAAACCAATGTCCATAAAAGAGACAGAGGAGTCCTGCAACTTTATTTGAATAAAAAAGGAGAGAGTCCACTGGCCACACGTTCCCACCAGGTTTTCTTTCTTGAGGTTCTGGAGGGTGCAGCCTTCTCTTTTTATCCCAAACTCCCGGCCGCATGTTGCCCTTTTCCTTTCCCCATTGTCTGAAGTACTAGGAAGGTAGAGCCTTCCCAAGCTGCCTATTGCATATTCCCCCTTCAAAGTGTCATTTTACCCCAAAGTTCCTAAGTTCAGGCTTGTGCTGAGTCCCCCACTTGTCTGTTTCAGGAGTTGGGCTGTCTGGGCTCCATAACAAACCTGCTACTTGAACTTAGGGGAGACATTAAGACCAATTTCGAAGACGTTAATGCCCATACCCTCACCCGTGGAATTCTTTGTAAAGATGTTATCACACATCTTTCCTATCAAACATAATCACAGACTTTCATCTCAGTTTTCTGTCATTTGAAATTGCAGTGTTACTAGAACTATCCAAGAGAATGGTGTTAACCAGACTTTCAGGAACACAGTAGGAAGTGGTTATCTTCGTCTTGTTCTTAGAGAGCAGAAAATCTTACCCCAGTTAACTGTGTTCTGAAAGAAATTTAAAACCCACAAATGCTGTTGGGGATCATATGCAGAAATTAGTGGCTGTACAAAACATCTGTTTCAGCATTCTTCTTGATTCAATTCAGTTAAATGTACTGAATTGTATGGTGCTCAGTATGGGCATGTAACTGGCATGGACTAGCAAGGACTCTTCAAATTATTCCAGTGTCTTACAGCAAAATCATCCCTTACCTTGAAATCTGGAGGAGATTGATGCATCTTAAGAGTGCTTGTACTGGCTCATTGGAGCGTCAGTTTTCATGCAGTCTTCTCAGGGCCTGGGAAGATGGATGAGTTAAGACAGAAGAAGAGACACTGCATATTTCTTGTTTACTTGTATGTATACACACTCACAGATATTTCTAGAATGGCATGAATTTAGTGTGGCCGTAGGCACAACCCTTTGCAGAGCTGATGGTTATGTCCTAACTCTTTGCTATCTCACACCAACCTCCCACAGCACATGACCATCCCAGCAAGACTGGTGATTAAGAGGTTCTGGAACAGCTTTAAGCAAATCATGGCAATTCAATAATGCCTGTGTATGTGCAGAGTGTCTGGACTGAAGACTTGCATTACTGTGCTCTGAAGTCCATTTTATATGATTTTTGCATCTTAAAATGTATTTTCAAAGATAAGCACTAGAAATGTTTCAAAGATAAACACTAGAAGCTCCTAGAGCTTTCCCTGAATTGCATTGACCTTTTCTGCTTTAGCCAAATTCTCCCTTCCTCTCCCTGTTTCTCCTCACTAGTGTAAATAAGCAAAAACTGACAATTTAAAGTTTTGAAGTTCTTCTCTTAGCTTGATGTAACAATTGTGTGACGAATCAGTGTTTGTATTTAGTTAACTACTGTGACGTATGCTTTTAAGAAGCAGTTGGTAGCCTTTATGAAGCTAATTTCCTTAACTAGACACGTGTCTTAATTGTAGGAGCCTCTATAAATAGAGGCATATATGTAACTTTTCTCTAGCTGGATTTCTAAAAGCTGGGGACAGAGGGAATAAGTGAAAAGTGGCTTCTGCTCTTCAATGAGAAAATTCTAGGTTGGATTTTGCTGTTACCAGTTTGTGTTTCATCAGCATCTAATTCCAAAGAACTGGAGGTAAATTTAATTACCTTAGTGGTTTCTTACAGGATGAGCTGGTTCTTGCTTTTGTTTCCATTTTGTGGGGTACTTATTTAAAGCATTATTTTAAAGCATATTGTTGCTGTAAAGTACAGAATGAGTAGGTTGAGAAGAGAAGTGTAAAATGGAGAGGCTGGACTGCTGTTCATTGTCACTAAATGTAATTTGCTGCTTTTCCAGTCTGTCAGGTTTGTCATGTATATATATACCCCTGCTTTTTGTCTAGTGTTCCCAGCTTCCTCTGAAGCAGCACTGGTATGCAATTTTGGCTGCAGTGGTGACTTACTTCAGCTGTGGTTTCATAGAAAAGTGAAGCTTATGCTAATACAGTAGATCTGTGTACCCTCACAGAATCTACCTGGCATCTATTTGTCCACAGGTATGCAGCTTTAATCTCCCAGAACTCTTGGGCTAGGAAGCATGGAAATAACTTGGAGCAGATTCTCTGTTCTGCTTTGCCCTCAGTAGAGTACAGAGTTGGTTTTGGATATTGATGCCTGTTACCTGCTAAACACGGTGATGGTACATTAGTTGTGCTTGTCAGTTACAAAATTACAATGATAAGATGATTTGAGGCACAAGCCTCAAATCATATAGGTTTGACTTTTGAATGTGTTACTTGAGCATTGAGAATGAAGCGTATGTTAAGATTTTGACATTCAGGTGGAAATAATTTGTTTATTTTTAAGGATTTTTTGCATATAGAGATTGCAGTTCCACTCATGCAAATTTTTTATCACCAAGTGTTTTCTTTTTGCTTTCAGGTTTTTTGATAAAAGTGGAAACAAATTGCTTTTGTATGTGACAGCACTTTATGGGCAAAATGGAATAATTTTGAGTTCAGATGCTGGTTGTTGAAATAGATGGTATCATGGTTTTCCATTTTAGCCTCATCTTTTGGGAAAGTATTGTGTGTTGGCAAGGTCGGTGACTAATAAGACGACCTTCTGGTAGTACCATGGTCTACTTGACTAATTATGTGGATAGAACCATGGATCATCAAGTGCAGTATTAACATGGCTGGGCTGATAGTTCTGGAATGCAACTCCCTGCATTCACACGCACCTGTCAGTAGCTTCTTATTCCTGATGCTAAAGGTTTCAAAAGTACTCAACTTGGGTGCTAGTGAGGTAGCTATTTTTTTCTATGAACGTAAAACAAAACAGAAAAGCCCTTAAAGGCAATTAAATAGACACAGTGCAGTGTGTTTTTAATTAGTGTTTAATGGAGTACTGATAGTACAGTATTATCTCGGTTCTAAATGTATGCAATGCTAAATAGAAAGTTTTTTACTTTCTGATATTCTTACACCCAAGGTATGCCTCAAATATCAGTACTGTGCAGATTTGTGCAGTCTTTCTGTGTGTCTACCTGCTCTCAGTGTCCAAGTGGGCCAAATCATGGTGGAGAAGGAGTTTTGGGGCATCAGTGGGCTCTGCCCATGAGCTGCCATTCTTCCATTTATCAGCCAATCTCTGAAGTAAGACTGAGTGAAGGGGAGGTGTCTATCTGCATGTCCTGGGGCAGGAGTGGGATGAAACTGTAATGTTGGACAAGGAGATGGTCCAGCATGTCAGAGCTGTCTGAAAGGATGGTGTAGCCAAGGTGGGGGCTTGGTCTGTTCCTCCAGGTAACAAGTTACAGGACAAAAGGATATGGCCTCAAGTTGAACATTTAGATTGGATATTAGGAAAAGCATGTTCCACAAAAGGTTTGTGCAGCCATGGAACAGGCTGCCCATGGCAGTGGTGGAGCCATCTTCCCTGCAAGGATTTGTAAGATGTGTGGATGTGGCACTTGTGGACATGTTTTAGCATTGGGCATGGCAGTTCTGATGGATCACTTAGACTTGATTATCTTAAAGGTTCTTGCTTACCTAAGCAATTAGATTATTCTAAGATGTTTTGTAGTGAGATGAAGATGTGATGCGGCCATGATCACCTTCCATAGTGAAAGGAATCTGTCATGGGGTTATTTTTTGGAGGAGCAAAGGAGATTATATTAGTTGAGGAACTGGCAGAGAGATAGGAGGAAGGAGTCATAGAAATCCTCAGAAAATACATAAAATCTTTGTTCAAAGACTTTTTAAATATCTATGATAGTTGGTAGCCTGTGGTGCTTCTGTTTTTGTTCTGCTACTGTGGAACATGTTAGGGGGACTATCCATTGCTAATTCCAATAAAAATACTGTCATACTGGTTTATAGAGCATGCTTTGAAAGGTGTTCCTCTAATGCTATAATTTTGTTGAAAGAACTAATGTCACTTAGTAATTAGGTAAAGTGCTTTGGAATGAACTCACAAATAATGGGTATATTTATGTTGAGCTTGAAACTTCATATTTTAAAAATGAAACCAATTTTGAAAACTGTCATTTTCAAATTTTCAGTATATAGAAAATGTAACTGTAGTAATTGGTACACAGTCCCTAAAGATATTAGTGCTTGGGAATCTTCAGGAATCTTACTTGTAAATGAAATATTTTGAATTAATTGCATTTGATAGTATCTGTGTGAAACTCTTTGCCCACATATAAGTCACGGAAGGTTATTGCGTTGAGTGTGTATCATTGACATTAAAGAAAAATTCTCCTAACTGATGTTTAAAACATTTGGATCAAGCAGAAGAGACTGAAATGTTCAGTATTTGATCTTTCTTTGATCAGTGTAATCTGATTTCAGAGATCTGCAGATGGATCAAGTCCAGAAGATGGAGATGGTAAGAGATTTTATTGTAAAATTAAAAGCCGTGAGTGTGTGTCTTGCTGGGATGTTTTGCATTTTCTTTAATAAAGTTTTTTCTACAGAATCTGATCGAGAGGATGGAAGCTACTGTCCACCTGTAAAACGAGAGAGAACTTCATCTTTGAATCAGTTCCCTCCTTCTCAGTCAGGTAAATGTTGCTGCGCTATTATAAATGAAGGGATAGTTTTCCTACCTAGAAATTCTTTTTCCAGACATGTAAGCTGTCTTATTACTGTCTGTTGTGCTTTGGGTTAAGACCACAGCAGCCATGTACTCATGTTAGCAAATTTGGTGAAGCCCAAAGGAGCTTATAGATAGTTTTTTAAAATGTTTTCTGTCTGTAAGTTTGTGTATTTGTAGTTTTACCTTTTACTATTGTGCTGTTAAATTGCAGAATTAACCAGAAATCTTCTTGATTTGTTGTGACCAGGTCGCTTCTTTCCAAATTTATATAAGTGCTACCTTTTTCTTAGTTACTCTGCTGCCAGGGAAGTTTTTTGAGTCTCAACTCGTGTTTTAGTCCTCTTTTCTCTTCTCCCGTTACTTTTAAAATGGGGAGGATTCAGTGCACTTCTTAAACACCTGACATATGCAAGAGAGAATGACCACAGCCTGTGTGTGTGCACAGTCAGGGCCGTGAATTCACTGGGGTAAATTCATGCAGTTCACTTGCATGGGAATGGTCACGTTTGATATTTGTTCACTCATAGGAACAGTCTTGATTTCTGCCGTCTCTCCTCACAGATCATATGAAGGTTTTAGCTTTGGTCAACACTTATTTTAGTTAAGATATGTCAGTGTTTGAGGCAGATTTTGAGACTGCTACTTTATTTCTAATGTCTTAAGTTGAAACAAAGAAGATGAGAAACCTTGAGGGAAAGAAGTAAAAAAATGTTCCTCTCCTATGCACACAGTCTGGAGATGTGACTAAAAGGTGAAAGCCTAGTTGTTTTGATTTTAATTTGAAGGAAATAAATGGCTGTGAAATCCAAGATATAGTTGCTGATACTTTATGGGCATACCATTTTAAATTCATGCACCAATGCTAGTCAGGGGATGAAGCTCTTCTCTTTCAGATCCAAATTTTCTGTTGGGCAGCTCAGTGGGTCTCCAGATGTCATCCTGTGAATTGGATGATCAGTGTTGCTGCTATCTGTTTGCCAACCACTTTTAGTAAAGGAATGCACAAAAATAATGAATACAGGGTTTTGTAGATTTTATGTTAGAATCATAGTATGTGTATGACCAGATTCCCCATAGTCTCTTAGCACTTGCATTCCACTATGTCTTTGTCATATAAGATTAGAATCTCTATGCTTACGTCTGTTAATAAGTGGAGGAAAACAATTTACTCAACTCTTCCTTGGTTAAATACTGGATATTCCAGGAGTTCAGTATCCTTTCTCAAACCTCTGCTTAGCTAATGAATTTTGAGAGGATGTGGTGATTTATTGACACCTTTCCTCTCTTCTGATGTGTGCTGTTCTCAAGCAGTGACAACTTTGATTTGAATTGCAAGTTTCATGAAGACCTCTTTGAATATTGTTGACATTATTCAATGGCTTTGGTTTTCAGAAAATCTTTTACTTTCCTACCTTCTTTCTTTTCTTTTTTTTTTTTTTTTTTTTTGTGGGGTTATGTTTCTCTCAAGAATAGGGAAATTTTGCTTACATGAAAACTGTGTCATGTTTAAGCTTAAGGCAGACAATAATATAAAGAGAGAAGGTGGAGTTGAAGGAAAGAAGAAAAAAATTTTCAGACTTAATTATAAACGGCGAATACCACATTTTTTAGTACAATGGTGTTCAGAGATGAGCTTCGTTTCTCTTTTCAACATACTTGAACTTTTTCTACAGCCTTATAAAAACTAAAAAAGCCAGTAAATACTGCAATGCTTTTTTTCATGCAAAATTATCTGTTAGAGAAATCTGCCTCCTTCTGATTGTCCTATTTTATAAACTGGATTGTGATTTTTGTATAATACCAAAAGTACTAGAACTGCTGGGCAGGGTGTCAACCAAACTCCCTATTGTTTGCTTCTTTAGGACCCAGAAAAGGGTGGAAAAGAGGTGCTGTCTTTTGCCTGTTTTTTCAAACATTTTTTCCCTTTGGTTGACTATTATGCTGCTGAGGTGACATCTGATAGTACTCTGGTGTGCTCTTCTCTGTTTCTGTAGGAGTTTTGTCTTTGCAGGGTAGTTCAAACCTAAGTTGCCTCTTGGTGAAAACAGTGCGGTCCATCAGAGCGCAGATGTTGCGCTACTTTCTAGCAGGCATTACACACCTTTCTGCTCTCTCTCCTCAAGGGCCTTTTGAAATGGTATTAGACACTTTGCAATGCTATTATATAAACTAGCACCACTTTTAATTCCTAATTCAGATACAATTCAGATTGGGAATCCTGTATTTATACAGGATTCAGAAAAAATGAAATTTTTTCTTTCTCTGTTTCAGGAGACACTGAGAGGATTTTAGGGGCAATGGCTTGTTTGCTACTTTGGCTGTAATGCTGTTTTAATTTAGAAGAAATAAAACCAAAATAAAACAAATTACTAGAAAAATTACTTCAGTTTGAATTCCGGGAACTGGTTTATAATAAAGAACAACATCCACAACTTCCCTTTTTTTTTTCTTTTTCCTTGACTGCAGTGACAAAGAACAATGTCTTTATGCCATCAAGCTTTTGTGAACCCTCTGCAGGCAATTCTGACTCAGAACCAGGTGAGCTTCCTCATTTTTCTGCATTTTTCTTGAAAAAATGTTGTTAATTTGTTGTGATCTAAAGTACTCTGATACTTCAGAAGTAAGACCCTATCTGTGAGAACAGAAGTGATGATGGTTCTGATTTTAGAGCTGTTCTCTTGCTCACTTCGTTGTTCAACATCACCATTGCTGGAGGTAATGAAAATAATATCAAAGTTGTTAAATGCTTTGGGAGTGATGGTAGAACACTGCAGTATGACCCTTTCCTGCTAGCCTCACAATAAAACCTTTGGAAAAGCTTCATATATCTACTTTGGAAAAATGTTCTTTTATATTGGAAAGCAAAACAAGCATAAGGCATGGTCATGATTGTGTTCAGCTATGATCTGTGAACCCTGTGTTGACAGAACTGCTAATTTTGTTAGTCTCCATCGTTCTGGTTCAGTTGTGTTGGTATCACTGTAATGCACATCAATATCATATGCTTATAACCAAGCACAGTGAGACTGTAAGATGCTGAGTTGTCTTATTCTGAGTACAGATATTAAGCCCCTAAAAGGAAAAAAGTATAATTATTCTTTGTAAGTTGTAAGGAACTCAATTTTTAAGAGCTGTAGATTTATATTTTTTTTTTTGAGATTTGATATTTAATTTAAAAACCGTAACTGTAGTGAGTGTGAGCAAAGGAGTTTTTTTATGTTTATACTACAAAAGCATGAGTAAAAACTTCTTATTACAAGAAACTAACATTAAGCAATTAAGTTTAACTTAGTTTATGATCATTAGCCGTTAGATACTTGTTAGCAGCTGTCACGTTCAGTCATAGTTTTGATTGTTCTTTCTTTAGTTTGATTCTCACTTAAAACCTTTATTATCTTTATTAAGTCCTTCACAGAAGGAGCCCCATTTCTCTGGTGAACACAGTCTTTTTCCTGTTTCTTCTGAAAAAAATTTTGAGCTTCTTGCTTGTGATACCATGTGTTTCTCTGAGGTGTATATTTGCTGTGATGATCACTGGAAATTCAGGTTTCTTTCTTTCAGAAGAGAATTTGTTATTTGGAAAGGTCCTAATAACTTTGCATATTTATAGAACTTGTGGGTTGTTACAATGGGGAAAACCTGAGCAATTTTATGACTGAATGGCTATTTCTAATGTTACAGCTTTGTCCTTGTAATTTTGTATTTCACTTCCAGAGGAAAAGAGCAGTGGATTCCGGCTGAAGCCACCAATACTTATCCATGGTCAGGCACCTAGTGCAGGTGAGTTCACTGTTTACTGCGACAGTACAAAGAAACCAGCTCAAGCATTTTATTTAGTTAGTGATTTCATCAATCAGCTATAGAAGGTGGTAAATAGAAGGTGGCAATACCTGTGTGTCTGCAGAAAAAAAATCTCGTCTTCTCTGGGGTGGTTGTGCCCATATCCATTGTGTAATGCATATATGGATGCGCCCATGTTTTGCATTGGTTCAGCTGTGCATGTTTGAAGTGCATCTCCCAGCTGTTGCCGCTTAGCGAGATTCTGTTTGTGCTTGGAGTTATCCTACAGACAGTGAATTTGATTCCTTTGGTAGCAAACCATAAGAAAAAGGTGTTCACTGAGTGCCTTGAGCAAGTTCTGGCCATTACTGAGTGTTTAGTCTGCGACCAGGCCAGGGCAGCTGGAAGTGTCAAGAGAGTGCCCACTTCTGCTCTCCCTGGCTTTTGGTGGCAGTGTAAGTGGCAGGTCCCTGATCGTGCCTGTTCTGCACTACAAGTTGGCTATGACTGAGTTTCCCGTTTGCAGATGTAGACCCAGCCACTATCAGAAAGATGTTAGTATTACAGCTTCTTAGGAATTTGAGGGGGTAAAAAACAAACCCAAAACTATATAGGTAATGAAAGCTATTATTGCATCACTATATGGAAACTTCATTTCACTTGAAGGAAGAGTGGTAAATTTAAGAAAGGAACAAGCTGTTTTGAGCTTATGAGTGTTTGAACTTTGGATAGCTTTATAATCTGATGTCATGCCCTTTTAATGTGGGTGACCTGAAATGGAACTAATTGCTATGAGTGAGTTCTGTTGCAGTATTTTATTGGATCAAGGGTTCTTCTTCACCTATGGCAAGCCCAGAAAACTGAATTTTCTGGGCTTGCCATAACCTTCTAGAGTTGATGTTAAAATGTTTGGGGGTTTTTTAATTAGGTTGTTTAAGGTCAATTAGCTTTTTGAATCATAGCAGAATTAGAGTTGTAGTGCTGTGCATCTTACTGTAACAACCAAAGAGGCCAGGTTAATTCAAAAAGCCAAAAGGTTGTTAAATGACACAACACAACTATTATAGTACCAATATGTTTGATTGATTGCATGGATAAAAAAATATTTTACTACTATCTGGAAATTACTTTATTGGAAGGAGAAAAGAAGATTTGTAATGTGTAGTTGAATAAAATGGCAGTGCATAAATAGGATTACTGGAATTCTCTTACATTTTGGCTTTTATTTCTGGATTACTTTCTTTCTGTGCTTTCCTGGATAAGGTAGACAGTATATTTTAAAGTGTCTTTTTAGGCTAGGAAATAGTCTTCCCTATTTGGGACTAACTCTCTTTTGAGGCTGAGTAAGGAGTGATGGAAAAGAAGTGAGTAGAAGCTTTTCTAGTGTCTGTTTTTAATTGTGTGTTCTGTCGGAAGCAGTTAGAGAAGATTAGATGAAGCTGAATTTTCCAACTTTAAAACTTTATACTTCTTGAAAAAACTTTGCACTTGCAGGTCTCCCTAGCCAGAAACCAAAGGAACAGCAGCGAAGTGTGCTCCGTCCAGCAGTACTACAGGCACCGCAGCCAAAAGCTTTCTCACAGATGGGTAAATAATGCTTTTGCTTTCTAAATACAGTGGAGAGAGAACAAAAACATGGAATTTGTTTAGTGTGGTGGCTTGCTTTTACTCAACACCCACCTTGGTTTTTCTAGTTTTCTCCTTTCAGAAAAGAAACATCTTAAATAGTAAGTGTATCTGTATTACATGAAAGATAACACAGTGGAACCTTCAGATCTTGTGTAGGGTGACTGTCTGATGTTGCCAGGCCTCTAACTTTGGTGTAATCCATACTTATGTTTTGAAATAAAAAGACTTTTAACAGTGTGGTATAGCAGTCAGTCTCAAATGACAGCATTGACCATGGTGTAATAAGCTGTTACTGGTAATTGATCAACAATGAAGTACCTAAATCAGTGAGAGGTGCCTCTGGGCTTGAGGACCATTTTGCTGTTGGGGCTTTGAAGTACAAATTTAATTCTGAACATAGAATTTTAATTTTTAAGTTTGGTCATTCATATAATTTTTATTGTATTATGGAATTATGGAATTTGATGTAGCTGATGGAAATACACATGATAAAAGTGTGGAAGTTAATGCGAAAAGCTGTTTAAAGTCCCTGTATCCTAAACCCCATGTTTCCCCAGTCTGATGCCATTTGTTATGTGGAAGTTTAGTTGAACAGAAACAGGAGTAACTTCAGTTAATGCAGAATCTGGCACAGAACCTAATATTTCTAGCTTGATTTCATGACATGCCTCCTGACACAGATTGGACTCTACAGAGGACTTAGTATTGGGGTAAAATTTTCAGTGAGAGTTCAGTATGTGAGCAGGTAGATCAATCTGAAGACAAACCCTGCTGGCTGTGAACAGTATTAGACTGAAGAAGGATGGTTGCTTGAAGTTGTACATATTGAAGTCTTTACAACATTTGTATAGATTAATTTACTGACTTGGTTTTCTGCATTTGGAATTTTGATTCTGCTAAGAATTGCTGAATTGTGGTCCTCATGTCTCTTGCAAAATACTGTGGGAAATTTTTAGTTTACATTACGTTTAATGGACTTAAACAAGAAAACTACATGCTATTTGCATAAGAAAAAATTTATGGCAGTCTAAATATCTAGAGAGTTCACTTTTTTTTTTTTTGTTTCTGTGTTACAGTTCTCAGCAGTGGCACCAATGGTGTAAATATCCCTCCAGATTCTGCAGCCACATCAGAATCACCAAGTGATGCAACATTGAAAAGTTCAGACTCTGAAGACAAGGTAAGTTGGAGAAGGAGACTCAAGGTGACAGGCATAAATATTTTAGGAAATAAAGCTGGAAAGACAGACAAGGATAGGTTCTGCTATGCTAAAAGAAACTGTGTGAATGCAGAGGCTTTGTTTTGGGAAGGCACTGAATTGCTTTATAGATTAAGATCAGAGGGGAAGCCAACAAGAGAGAGATCAAAGTGAACCTTCACCAGGCTTCAGGTTGTTTATTGAGCTGGTTGGTAGGATTCTGAAGGACAGCAGAGCTCATGAGAACTCATTACCTGCATGGACAAACATCTTAGAGAATGAATAACTTATCCCAAAGCGCTTGAAACTCTGCAAGTTTGGGAGGAGGCCAGCATGTATGGGCTTGGGAGGTCCTTAAATCCAGAAAGAGAATGTGCATGTATCTCGTGAAAGCAGTCAAGACACCTGAGAAGTATACAGAAGGATTGCCTGGATGTGTGGGAGAACTGGGAAAGCCTAAATTTGGCTGGAGTTGGGAATTACAGGGAATGAAAAGCTGCAAACAAGGCTTCCACTGGTACTGGCAGCAAAGGTAAAATGAAGGAAAATCATAGGCCTTCTGCAAAATGTTAAAGGGAATCTAGTGGTGAAAAAAAAGAAAAAAAAATCTGAGGTACTCAATGCCTTTGTCTTGTTTTCTACTGAAGAGGTCTGCGGTCAGGTCTACCAAATCCTCTTTTTAGGGGAAGCTTGAGGGAGCAAATTGTTACACTAAATTTGATTAAGGACCGTTTTAGACAATTTGACATGCACAGGTCCATAGGATGAGACAGGATGTATCCATGGGTGCAGAGGGAGGAGTCATGGTTTAACCCCAGCTGGCAGCCAAGTACCACCACAAGTACCATGGAGCCACTTGTTCACTCCCTCTACTCAGTTGGGATGGTGAGAAGAATCAGGAAAAAAGTAAAGCTAGTGGATTGAGATAAGAACAGTTATTTAAGTGTTGAAACAGAGTTAAGTATAATAATAATAATTGTAATGAAAAGGGGAGAGAGACAGATTAAACACAAAGAAAAGAAGTGATGCCCAGTGTAGGTGCTCAGCACCTGCTGATCTGTGCCCAGCTTGTCTCCCAGCAGCCATCAGCCCCTCACCAGCAGCTCCTCCAGTTTACACACTAGGGAGGATGTTTTATGGTGTGGAATATCTCCCTGGCCAGTTCGGGTCAGCTGTCCTGGCTGTGTTCTGCCCTGCCCCAGCTTCTTGTGCAGCTCCTCGCTGGCAGAGCATGAGACACAGAGAAGTCCTTGACTTGGGGTGAGCACAACTGAGCCACAACCAAAATACCAGTGTGTGATCAAGATTATTCTCTTCCTGGATTCAAAATACAGTGTTGTGCCAGTCTTGTACTGGGAAGAAAATGAACTCAGGACAGGGAGCTGAGGGGTGCTTGTGTGAGAGCACTAGCTGTCCTCAGAGAGTTGTGGTACTGTGGTGGGTCCCAGTTACTTGAAAAGAAGAAAGCATGGCACACGTTTCCACAAATGGCAAGAAAGAGGTTCTAGGAAAGTAGAAATGGCTCAGCTCCTTCCTCTCTCTTTGTGGTGAAGGAGTCCTAGGATATGAGGCACCTTAAAGGGATTGAGAACAGCCAGCATAGATAAAACAGAGACCAACCTGATGAGTTTTTATCCTCTGAGATTATTTGCTTTGCAGAGAGTCCTACTTGTTGATTTTGACTTTAGGCAAAATCTTTGTATGGTCTGAAGTATCATTGTCATAGCCAAAATGGAGAGAGCTGTACTGGTTGGGTGGAATTTAAAAGTGGGTGATAAATTGGCTGAAGCCATGAGCTTTGAGGGTAGCAGCCAGTGATTGGAAGTCTGACAAGTGTCAATCACTAGAGGCATTCCTTAGGACTATTCAACGTATACGCAAACAACCTGGCAAGGTGGAATAAATCTTGTTATGTTCGTGGATACTAGTATACTGTGGGAAGGGGAAATGGTCAGTATGTTGGAAGGTAGGGGCTCTTCAGCAGGATCTCAGCAGGTTGGAAAAACAAGCTGACAAAAACTAGCTGATGGTTAGCAAATGCAAAGTTCTGTATCTGAGGTGAAAGAACCCATGTGTCACAAGGACTGAAGAGGGACTGTCCTGAAAGCAGCTGTGCAGACAAGTCTTGGAGATCCTGATACTGCATGAAAAATGTTGAGACAAGTTCTCACATACAGAATTTATTAGCAGATCTATAGCTGATAGTGACAGTTATTTTATTTTGGAAGAAGGGAGATCAAAAAGGGAAAGAAAAAGAAAAACTTCACATTCGCCAGCCATAAAGGCTAGTAATGAGTTCCCTAGACAGGCATCTTCCCCCTGAGTGTCCTCTCCAGTGGAGCAGGTGGTACTCCCTAATAACCAAGTTCCCATAGTAACTATATAGTTTTCTTCATAATGTGCTCAGACTTCCTGTGGTTTTGTTTTTTTTTCTACTTATGATGCTGTTGATGCTGATGGAAGTGTGCCTTGCTGAGGGGCAACTGCTGTGTGTGGGTCACTTCTGAGGCTTTGTGTGTGCATAGCATTGGGTCTTCCCATCAGTGTTAAAAGCTATGGAGTAGGAAGTTAGGACAGAAGCAGGAGGGAGTGATTCCCATGCAGGTTGCAATTGTTTTCCAACACTACTTTAGAGTTTTGTAAGTGCAAGGCTCTGAGTATAGTGGAACAAGAACTATGGTATGGGAATAATCAGGAAATGTGCCACCATGGCGTGTGCAGGGAGAAGTCACAAAGCCAGTTGTGGAAAGCAGGTGGCAGAGGTGCAGAATAGAAAGTCCTTAGGAGAACAAAAAGCTCAAGAACCTTCAGGTGCTGTGCAGCAGTGAAGAACAATAGATTGAACATGAATAAGTAGTGTATCCTTTTATTGATTAAGAGGACTTATGGGCTGCTTTACTAAAACTACACGCATTAGGCTTAGGAAGTGATCTTTCCCTTTTTGTGCCACTGGCGGATGGCATCAGGAATACCATATATAATTTGGGGCTTGACACTACATGAAAAACACTTAAAAATCACTAAGGTGACTAGTGGCTGGAGCACAAGAAGAGTGATGAGAGAATGAAAAAGCTGAGTATGTTCTGCTTGGACTAGGATAGGGGAATTGGAGAGAGCTCTCAGCTCTCAAGTGATAGGTGGTGGCAAGATGAGAATAAAATAAGGAAATGTCTATCAAACAGGTGAGAAGCTGCAGATGTAGTGTGAAGGGGATTCCAGATGGGTTTTAGGACATAACTGTCATACTTAGTGTAGTTGAACATTGAACTGAATTGTTAAAACCAAAAATCAATTTCCCAAAATAATATATATGCATAACCCCAGCACCTCCCATTCCTGCTTTGTATTAAAATGAGGTTATTAGTCCTTCAGTTCTTCTCTTGAATTGGGTTGGTGGTCTTGAACTGGGTCAGTGGTCCCAGGGATGAAGTCAAGAAGGTCTTTGTCAGGTCTCTGTGACTCTCTGGCACAATCCACGGCCCCCTGCTTCATGATGGATTGACATAGAGTTCAGGTGCTGGGCATTGTTCTACTGGTTTCAGTACGTTCCTATAATTGTTCACTTGCTCCACTTCCTTCTACAAGTGAGCTTATTTGTAATATAACAATTAGCTTTAGCTTAAGGATCTAATAATTATTAACCTATTGTTGGTGTATCTAACTGCAATATGAATTGGCTCTTACCCTTAGCTAAAATCTTAACCCTTTAAAATAATAATTCATTGCCCACTCCTTCAAAGTTAGTAAATTCTTTTACTGATATACAGAATCTTCTTCATCTAGCAAAGCTGCACAGTAGGGGTCTGTTAGAACTGTACCCTATGCTCTCGATATTGAAGTTAAAGGTGCTACTCATCACAACTATCTGCAATTCCAAACAAGTACTATAATAGACAAAATCAAACTTATACTAACCTAAGTAAAATAATAATTGGATGAACCAAGGTATTGAGCAAGCCAGTTGCTATTGGAGACCACCCAAAAAGCACATCCCACCAATGATGGGATGGACCTTCTTCCAATCTTTTAAATACTCTCCGTATAGTCTCTGTGTCATGGTGTATTGTAATCAAAGTTTTTCTTCCTTCATCTTTAATTTCTTTAAGAATTCTCTTTAATTCATGATGCTTCAACAATTGGGTAACCAAAGCTAAGTTCATCCCTATAGGCATGGGTGATATTTCTTGCACAGTAATCAAATTTGCCTTTTTATGTTGGTATGGTATGACAGGTGCCTGATAGGAAAAATCACATCCCTCAATTTTGACAAAGTTACAAATGGACAAGATAAATTGAATTTCATTCACAGTGATTTCATCCACCATTATAGTAGAGCATGCTATTCTGAGGCAGACACAACCTTGTCCTGTATACACAAGCAAGGTTGTCTGGTTGTCTGGGACGCATTTCAAAGTGACAAATGCTTTGCTCTCTATCTAAACAGGTATCTTTACCATCACTTACATTGCCTTCACATATGAACCCCAATTGTTCTCTCATTGAGCAGGGTTCTAAGTTAAGAGTTCGCTACATTCTTTCAACCTTTAGTGCCCACATTCTGTGTTCAAAAGGATATAGTATGGTCCCCTCATGTTTTAGCCCTGAAGGAACAATTGGATATATCAAGCTCACTGATGCATCGTATATGGTTAAAACAAAAGCTGTTACCATACTCATCATGGGATCATAAGTTTAATTACCTAAAACCCACCCGGGTTGAAGCTCTTTTTCTAAATCCGAGGCATTATCCCAAACAACTTTATAAATTCCAGCAGGGAATATGCTGTCTTCCCCGTCCCTAATGATTGAGGCTGCCACTGATTGCATCCTTATTTGTGCCTGTGTACACCCAAAAACCAAAGAAATGTTCCCACTAGCTGTGCCTAAAATATGAATTATCAATTGATGATCTCACTCTTCCGTATTTTCCCATTCTGGTAATATTTTGGACAATTTCAGCTGTCTGGGACCTAATGCCAACA